AGGACTGCTAGCCTTCTAGCAAGTAGCAGAGGAAAGCCTGGTGATGGAAGGGTAGTGGGTAACGGACAGAAAGCGGCACCTAGGAAGTGGGGTCTGCAGGACTGGGTCCTGCGGAGACGTTTACTGCGTTAGGGGCGGAGAATAATGTAATCCTGTAAAGGAGACAAAGAACAGGCAGGAAGGGCAGTGGGTAAACCAGTAATATTTGGTAGCATGGAAGCAACAAAGAAAGTGTGTGAAGCAGGAAGTGGTCAATTCCATCAGATGTTAATGTCTGGTCAAGCAAATGGAAACTGAACAGTGACCCCCACCCCACTGCTTCAATCACCACCAGGGAAGCAATCCAATACCCACCCACGCAGGTCCCCTACAGTGATGCTTTTAGGTCTAGTTGCCTTCTTTAAAGCCTGATCCCTCAGGAAAACTCAAGAGAGTTCTCCAGCTCACATCAACCCCTTGCCCATACCTATTTTCACAAAAGGAGGTGACATTTGACTATAATTCTGTCCTCTTCTGCATACCCTCCTGGGCTGCCTTTCAAACAGTCAAAACTCCTTTAAAGAGTCCTCTAGGAAGGTTTCCTCCGACATTCAAAATACATTATAATTCAAATGGAAATGCAGAAATTCATTTCCTTGGACAGTTTTGGGAAATCATGATAGAGATAAAACTTTTTTTAAGGGTGGCCACAGGCTTTATCTGTGGGGACATCTCAGTGTCAGGGATTGTCCCATCTAAATGCCAAGAGCTGCACAACCTTCACATGGAGAATGGCCTCCCCTGGAAAGGGAGTATTGACTGGATACCTGTTCTCTTCTAGACATTCTTTGTCCTGCTTTTCTCTTTGTAGATTTCCATTTCTCTTTGTCTGTCTCTCTGATCTTCTGTATCCTCCTACCCACCCTTAGTTGATCTCAGCCTCTCTCTCTCTCACATACACACACACACACACACACACACACACAGGATGAACAACTCCTTGACATAAACTCACTCACTCTTCACTTTCAATAGTCACTTTCTCATGACAAACAAGGCAAAAGAAAATTCAAGAGGCCATCAGGTAGGTCATTTCTGCATCTATCACTATCCCCCCCACGCCCCCAGAGTAAAGAATAATAAGGAAAGATGAAAGTTAAGGTCACAAAGTCCTTTGGTACCTTCCTAGACATCTAGGCCGCTCCTTCCCTCTACTACCTCCACACCTGCAGCCCACTCAACCATGCCCCTCCTATCCTACCCTTGTCCTTGGTCCTGAGCCAAATGGCAAAGGATGAGAACAAACTCAGCGACACCTGCCCCTTTCCTGACATATATGCACACACAAACATGTGCATTCATGTGTACATATAGCGTGTCAAGGTCAGAGTTGGAGAGAGTATGTGAATATCAAGTCAACGAGTGAAATGCAGTCTCGACTGGGAGAAAAGTAGCTTTTCAAAATCGAGAATATCAAGAGCATGCAGTGCAGGCAGTACGCTGGGAAGAGACTTAACTTCACATGGTATCTATGGCGTGGAGCCTGACCTGCTTCCCTGCAAACCATGCTGGGGCTACCCTGGTGTTTTGGGGGGACGCCTACTACTCTAGCTGTCCCAAGGCTCAGCTCATCCTGGCTTCTTGCTATATTCGACCTTCCTGCTATCATCAACCTGTCTGTTGCTCCAGAGCCCTCCAGACTGGCAGAATACTCAGAATGCTCATTGGGGGAGCAGAGAACTCCACCCCCTAATCTGGATCTTTCTAGTCTTTCTTGAAGCAGCAGCAGAGTCCAGGTCTCTTGGTTTAGCCTTCGTTTTGCCCTGTCCTCCAGCACCCCCTTCTGCATCTGGGCAAGTGGACAACCATAGCTAATTGGTGGCCGCTCGCTTTTCCGAATGCCCTGGTGACCTCCAAATGTTGATCAACACAGGGCACACCCTCAACCATCAGCACCAGCATCTGAAATGAAGACAATGGGCCCTCACCTGAGGGTGACTGGGTTCCTGCCATGTGCCAGCTGCCGGCCTTCCCCCAATGCCTAGCAGTGGCTTTAAAAAGTCTGTAACAATAGTGCAGCATTGGAAGGCTGAGACAGGCTGGCAAAGGACCATGTGTGGACAGCTCCTGATGTCCACTCTGGGGTCTCAGTGCTGGCCATAGGGTGTGCCCAGAGAAAGAACTTAGGCCACATTCAGTGAGCTAAAATAATGCAGGATAAATGCAGCAGCCTTTTCCCCTGGAATGCACGGGAAGAAGCACTTTGGGGAATGAGAATAAAATGAACCTTCCCTGGGAGGTATTTTAATCGGGACATTCACACTCCCCTCCTGCCCCTCCCCCCAGTTTTCCCAAGCTGCCCCGGTCACGGCAATGGCCAGTGCTGGAGCATCAGGGGCCAGAGGGGCTGGGAGTCTTGTTTCTCGTGTCCAGGACACAGGATCTGGGCAGAAAGCAGGGAGACTGGGCTCGGGAGGGACTCAAACACCATCTTACTCCCTAACAGACTGTGGGGCCCTGGCAAGTCCCTCTTTTTAAGCTTTGGGATTTCCTTATGAGGAGAGGTGGATACTTTTGCCTCTTTGCTTCCCCCAAAAGTCTGCCTATAGAGTGGAAAGGGCCGGACAGACATCTGTGGTTGCCATCCAAGCTCTTTTTGGTCTCATCTCCCCAACCTGGATCCCCGCAGCCCAGAAAAAGCCCCTGGTTTGGCTGCACACAGACCACAACGACTCCCTGGGTGACACTGTCCCTCGTGACACTGTAACCCCCAGGGAGAAATAAGGACTAAGGTCGCACATGAGCAAGAACCAGGGCCAGCTCCAGAGTCATCAGCCAGTGCCCAAAACTTTTGCTTTATTTTAAGACACTGTGTTTCTTGTTCCCTCTATAGGTCAGACATGCATTATCTCGTTTCATTCTAAAAGGCACACAGGGGATTACTACGCCTCATTTAACACAGGAAGAGGCTGAAACTTAGAAGTCACTTTGCCCGAAAGAGCCTGGCAGGGCTGTGGGGAGAGGCATCAGGACCTGGCATCCTGTCTTACCCATTCCAGCCTGCCCTGGCCACCCTCTTCCTCCCAGCTGAAACCCCAGCATGATCAGCCTCCAAACCCAGACTCACCCCAACATGGTCCCCAGCGAGTCCTTGTTTAGATCATTGTGGTCATCGACATAACCACAGAAGATGGCTGGGGAGAAAGAGGGTGTCAGCTATCTCTGAGTCCAGAGTTATTTCAGTTCTTCTAGAGGAAACTGCTAATTTTTCATCCTCCTACTCTCAAATGTCACCACCCAACTTCAAACGGTAAAACCTAGTGTTTGATGTAGCGGCTAAGTGGTCAGAGCTGATGAGATAGCAGAGAAAGTTTGTGTTGGCTTCATGTCTCCTAGGCTTTTACTGGGAGTGAGCATGGATGGTGGAAGGAAGAAAAACACCTCTGTGAGAGCAGCCCAGAGAGGGGGTAGGGCCCCAGAAGAGGGCTCAGAGAGTCTCTCACACAGCCAGGTCCTAAAGCAGCCCCAGCTGCACTGGCAGCTTAGTTTTGCTCACTTGCAACAGAAACCATGCCTCTTATGGACAAGGAACGGGGTTTTCTGGAATGGAAAAGCCCAAAGCCTGGAAGCAGCCAAGGACAGAGAGGGGATAGGATTTAGCATGAGAGTGGTGTCCCCCAAAAGCAGAGTGAGGCAAATTAGCTCAGTGGCCACAGTGAGTGAAAGTTTTTATAAACATAACCTAATTGTATTACTTCAGAGTCCTCAAGCTTATTGCCCTGCTTAATGATGTGTCATGTTATTTATAGGCCAGCACAACGAGACTTCTATTGATTTAATGCACTTCCTTAAAGACCGTCATTGTCACAGCCATAAAACAGAGCTATTGCCAGACAACTCAATTATGTCCCCTGCGCCTCTAAACTTCCTCGTGTCCCACACTGGCGGCAGGGAAGGGTAAGACCACGGGTGGGGGTGCAGCCTCCTCCCGCCCTGCCCAGGACAGAAGGAAGAGGATTCAGGAAATGGGAAAGGCAGGAGTGTTGGGGCTTTATGCAGTCAGATATGGGGCCAGCATGAGAAAAGCTGTGCAGCACCCCACTGTCATGGCTCTGTCTGGGCGGGGGGCGGGCAGCGTGTCCTCAAGAAGCTTTGTCCTCTCTACTGGGCTTTATTTTCCCAGCTGTGAGCCTGGGAGCTGAGCCCTGGGGTCTCCTCTGACTCCCACGCTCTGTGCTCCTGTGTGGAGTGGCTGAGTTGGTTCTTAGAGGGCTGGTGGCCGAACCAAAGGTACGAGCGCATTACTGACATTGCTACCCACTTCTCCATCCATCAAGAGCCTTTTCTTTTGAAATCAGTGGCTACTAATAATACTGACGATAAAGGGAAGTCACTCTCACCCTGCTCTCGTAAGTGTCTGTCTATGGACACGTGACTCAGCATTTTGAGATTCATTTTCTCATCTGTGAAATGGGAACAGGGACACAGGGATCTATGACATTGCACAATGCATACAAGCCTTATTTCTAGGGTCTCAAAATGCTATAACATGAACCATTTCCCTTCAATGTAGGCGGTAGGCAAGGAGAGCTAGTTGTGTGCCCATTTCACAGACGGGAAAACCGAGGTGGGGACAGATTGATTTTCTCAAGGGGGGGGGTGGTGAGGACTGATCTGCCTCTGGTCTGGAGCTGAGACTTTTCCAAAAAGCCTGAAGATCAAAAGGCATCCAGGAGACACGTTCCCTGAGCCCAGCCCTTTGGCAATTGTTTCAAAAGCCTGTAGAACATGACTTTGGGGGCTCAGAAAATGCATGAGAAAACCCCAAGAAATAATTATATTCTTGCCTTACTCTGTCTGTGATGAAATTAAAGCCAGAGAGGGGCAGGGGCCTGCCTTAGGTCACACAGCTTGTATATGGCAGAGCCAGGAGTTAGCACCCTGGGAGTTCAGTTGTCTCCTAGACACCTTACCTGCACACCCCACCTGGCCGCCTCCTCCAGTAAGCCCTCCAGGCTTACCTTTCTGATACTGGAGCCACAGCTGCTGCTGGACCTTCTTGCTGGGGAAGTGGATGATGCAGGTGAGCTCGGAGCCGTAGAGGGCCTCAGCGATGTAGTGGGAGCCGTAGTGTTGGATGAAGGACAGCAACTCCTCCCGACTGCTCTCCTTAGTCAAGATCTTTAGGACGTTGGTGAAGCCTGGACAGAGGAAGAGCAGGTAGAGGAGGTCAGGCTTGAGAGGCTGGTAAGTGAGCTGCAGGGGGCTCTTCCTGCCTGGATTTGCTGCCTTCTGCCCCACTCTGGTGTCAGTCTGGGGGCTGCATGGCACCAAATGTGCATGGCGTTTTCTCCCTTTCTGGGAGACACACAGACACTATGACTACGGGGGAATGGACAGGAGAGGAAGCTTGGCCGCCTAGACCATGGGATATGAGGATCACAGCCAGGAAATCAGAGCTGACGCCTCCTGAGCAGCTCACATGTGCCAGGCACACAGATGTCTCGCCGCCTCGTCTCATCTCGGGCCCTCGTCTGACCTGGGCCCACGTGTGACCTTGACCACGACAAGCCCAGCTGTGAGACAAGCGTGTGACTGAAAGTGCAGAGGCTGTGAATGGCGCGCCTTGATTCTCCAGCCAGAGGAGCTGGCGCCCCGGCCCACTTGGGCTCTCACACCACTGCACCCAGGAATCGGGGTGTGAATTGTGGGTGGCTGGGTTTCCAGGGCTGTACTGGCCCAGGCCCAGCAGATGTTCTGTGTCTCAGACCTGATCCTGGCTTAGTTTGCTGTGGTATCACTTTCATCTCTGCTGTCACCTCCCTAAAGCCGTGCTGCATTCTAGAACACCACCATCCTGGCTGCCCTGTTGTCTTAGTCCTGTGCCAGCCAGCTTAGTATGCAGTGCTCAGCCTGGGGCCTGCACAGCAAAGGCTCAGGAGAGCTGTTCCTCTGCCTTGCCTTGCTCCAGGTCACCAACCTGTGCTTCCAGGAGCTCCTCCCTGCCTCTGTAAAAGGCACAGTGCCCTCATCTGGGCATGCCAGGCCCTCCAAGGTCATGCCCCACGAGCCACCTCACAGACTTTACCTCCCCCAAATTGTTCTTTTTATTTCTTTTGAATCTAAGGTTTCCAGTAGTCTCTCTCTATTTGTATCCCTGCCCTCCCGCAACACCTCCAACACAGTTACCCCACTGTTTGCTTGAAATGGCCTCCCCACTTCCTTCCTTAAGTCATGTCCAAGCTTCAGGGCCCAGCTGTCTCCCCTGCCCAGGAGTCCCTTCCTGACAAGGGCACCTACTCTCTGCACCTGCAACAGCAGCAGCAACAGCTCTGTCCCATTTGTTTCTGGGTCTGCACATGCATCCTTCCAGAGCCCCTTTGAGGTGCACCTCAGAATTTCTAGGACACATTGGACACACCAGCACCACTAATGTGGGAATAGTGTACATGGAAGTATTATTAACAATAGTTGTTCCAAGTTATGGAACAACCCAAGTACCCAACAACAGATGAGTGGATAAGAAAGATGTGGTATATTTACATGATGGAATACTACTTGGCAATCAAAAAGGTGAGGTTTTGCCAATATAACAACATGGATGGAACTGAAGGGGATCATGGTAAGTGAAATAGGAGGGAAAAAACAGAAACCAGAGAAATCTGACTAGTGGTGAGACCACCAGGGGGTAGGAGGGGATAAGAGACAACTGTTGGGGATAAGAGACAATGAACCATGGTGGAGGTTTATGGGCACTTTGGAGGTACATATGGTATAATGACATGCATTTGAAGAGGTACTTATAACTCTAAATCACATACAGTATTGTAAACCAATGTTACATCAATAAACTATATTTATTACAAACAGATAAGCAATTTCATTCCTCATCAAAGTAAATGTAAAAAAAGCCACATTCAAATCAGCTGCACATTAAAATCAGCTCCAGTTTGCCAATGGTTGATTTATAAGGGGGTGTTGGGGAGCAGCATTGTTAATTAAAGCAGATATACCTTTGTAGTAGCATGAGGAACATCACAGTCTTATTCACAAGTATGGTGTGAAGGTGCGGATGGTGAAGAAAACAGAAAAGGGGCTTAAAGAACGGGTGCGTGACTAAGAAAACCCCTCCCCATCAGACTGTTCGTTCACAGAACTGGGTAATTAACACAGCAGTGCTAATGACGAAATGGTTTCTGCTACGTGATAAATGCAACACCAGGAAGCTTCCCGGTGGCTCTTTACCCAGGCAGACAAAACACTGCATACTAGTTGTGTGATGCTGGTCAAGTTACTTAACCTCTCTGACCTCCTTATGTGAAAAAAAAAAAGGGGGGGGGGATAAATAATGTTTTGTTCACAGGACTGATGTAAGTCATAAGATTCAAAACATTATAAAGTGCTTGGCCAATGTCAGCAATAATTATTATGTGTATTCCCCAGAGGGTGAAGGTCTCCAGTTCCCAGGGAACAGAGCTCCACATTGCTCATAAACAGAGCCATATTAAAAAAAAAAAAAAGATAAGAACGGGTGGATAATTAGGAGACACTCAGACAAAACCCAGTGGCAGTGTTAGGAGTTGGAGCCAGGGGAGGAAACCCAGGCCAGGCTCACCTCCACTCCCTTCCTCCTCAGCAGTCTGCTTTTCTTTTCTTTTTTTTTCATTTCTTCATCAAACATGAGCATCCACAATGTACCCCCATTCTCCATTAGTTACAGAGAACGCAGGAATACAGGCGATGGGAAAATAAGAAAGAACAGGCCCCAGTTGAGCACCCCCACCAGAGCACGGGGCTCCTGTGGGTGGACTGTGTAGGGGAGAAGGGCAGGGCGGGGGGGGGGGGAGGTGTTAATGTTGGCAAGAAAATAAATCAACCAGAAAACCCAAAGGAATCAGGCCTGGGAAGCACTTACCAGACATATGCTCAAATCCTTCCAGAACAAAAATGTGACCAAGGTTATCGTTTATCCCCACCACTCATTCGTGTCCTGCTCCCTGCTCAGGTCCCTCTTCCTCCAGGAAGCCTCTCTGACTCCCCAGGGTGCACCCTTTTCTGTGCCACCCATCATTGCCTTGACTTTGCTGCAATGTCTATTGCTTGCCCGCCTGGCCTCCCTGTGGGCTGGCAGGAGGCAGGGAGTCGCGGCCCGACCCCTGTGCAGCACATGCCCTGGCACAGGCGCTGAATGGGTCGCTGGCTGGGTGGGGCGCTCACCTGCCGAGAGGGTGATGGTGCTGAGCTTCACGCGGTACAGGTTGCTGCGGACCCGCCACTGCTGCATCATGGGGTAGCCCATGGCCTCGTCGTACCTGATGTCTCCTGGGGAACAAGACCGTCACGTGAGCCCAACATTCAGAGACCGCTCACCGTCCCCTACCCTGCAGCACTGGGCTCTAGGGACCGTCCCCTCCCCCACAAAGACACTCACCGGAGCACCTTTACCTAGACGGCGCCCCCAGGTGTGTTCCTGGCCGCACCTTGCTTTTCCTCCCTGCCCCCTCCAGGTGCAGCTTCCTTATGTCCTACAAACAAGCGTTATTTTGTGGTCCTAGGTAAGCCCGTGGGCAGCCTGCCAGGGGACGCGAGTCCTCTCTCGTGGTGCCTCCACAGGTCCATCTTAGACTGCGGTCCCCTGTGGTGTACCATCCCATGGGCACAGAGAGTCAAATCAGGTGCTGGAAGCGGCAGCCTGGGCCATCTGGAATGGCTGTGGCTACAGATGGGGACAGCCGGAGCCCTCCCGCCCCCTGCTGTTTGTGACAAGCCAGCCGAGAGGAGCAGGGATTGCAGAGACCCTACAGAGCCTGACTCGGTTATCGAGCCCTGACGCTGGCTGGCCCAGTGGCCCTGCTGTCTCTTAGCATGGAAACAGGGTGCCCATATGCAGCATGTGGAAGACAGGGCCACAGGCAGGTCCCCTGTCAAGCTGGACGGAGGGACCAGCTAAACAAAGGAAAGCAAGATTTCTGAAAGGTGCGACAAGATCTCAGCACCTCCAATACATTTAGAGGCGTGGTAAGCTCCACGCAGGCCGCTGGCAGCGTTTCTCGAAGGTCTTTGACCAAGGAGCCCTGTCTGGACAGTGGCTCCACTGGACATTGTGCTACACAGCACGCACTTTGTGAAACGCAGGTGCCGATAAAATGGACACCAAGACTGAACGTGAAACAAAAGGTTAGCAAGTGGTTAACTCTGGCGTTGCACACAGAACAGGTTCTTGTTTCCTGATTTCTATTTATCTCCATTTTCTAAATTTTCTACTCCAAGCACTGCAAACTCTCCTTTTTATAATCAGGGGGAAAAATACATGAAGAGGAAATGCTAGTCACATCGGCAGTTATTATTCCTGTTGTTATGTGTCCTCTGCAAATGGCAGGCGCATTTTCTCTCCCTTTCTCCTGTCCCCTGGTGAGGAGGCACTTAAAGAGATATTTGATACCAAGATTAAAATGAGAATCTCATTGGAACAAATGATTTCTTCCTGGACATTACTGCAGTATTAAAGTTGTCCATTACTGTCAACTTTTTTCTCCCCCTCCTTAGCCCTTTCAGGAATAATGTAATTTTTTTAGAGGTTTTCATTTTGAAGTAAAATATTCATGATGCCCAAAGATAGGCCCACTGGAGCGAGGTTGTTTTGTTATAAATATGCGCTCTCTGTTTATCAGCTCTGCCCGGCCTGTTTGCCTCTGCAGAGGCCTGGGGAGAGCCAGAGCAGGGAGCAAGGAGAATCACGGGGAGTCAGCACGAAGAAAAGACTCAGACTGTGGACCGGACACCGGGGTCCAGGCCATCTTGCCTCCCCGGTCAGGGCCTGTTCTAACTCAGAGCACGCTTGGGGGAGGTATGGGCACCCCATTCCCTAGCAAAGGAGACAGGACTGTCGCTCATTCAGGTGGCCGGGTGTCTAAAGGGGGAACGTCCTTCTCTGATTATCGAGTCTTTCCTGAAGCTACTTTCTCTGCCTTTTCCTTCACCCTGCTCCCTATAAGCGGTCACTGCTCCCATTCCTCCTCTCCCCTCCCCTAGTCCTTCCCGATCCTGGCCTGAAACCTAAGCTCCTCCAGTGACATGCCAGCTCCTTGATGTCCAGGCCATGGTCTGTGTTATCCCCATTCCCGCGGAGTCTACAACACAGCCTGCTACACAGTAGGTGCTCAATAAACACTAATTTACCAGCTCACTCACTCACGTCTTCTACTCTCCACTATACCCCCAGCCCTGTTCCTCACTCCTGACCCTGGCAGATTTGCTGTGTGACCTTGGGCTTGTCCTCTGCCTCTCTGAGCCTAGAATCTTCACTTATAAAGTGGGAAAATACTACTACTACACAGGATGGCTCCACACCCACGATCAAAGCAAGCTGTATAGCTAACGTGCTTTCACGTGAGCGGGGCTCCAGGTAGGGGATGTGGCGGTCCAGGGATCCTGCCTTAGTGTGACTTAAAAATGAAGCCAGTGAAGATGGCCAGGTGCAGAGGCAGGTACTGCATGATGTGCAATCCAAAGAAGTTGACTTTATAAAAGGAGAGAGGAGAATGGCTGGGGGCAGGGCTGTGGGGAAATGTTTGCGGCATAAGTGGAAGGCTCAGCTACATGGGGTGGCTGAGCTCCTGGATCTTAGGTTTGGCAGTGACTAGAGCTAATGTCAGATGTGGCTTTGCTGAGTGCGAGGACCTGGCATCTGCCGGGAGCCCAGTCATCTCCAGGAAGGCCCTGGTTCTGCACAGCCCTTACACACGGCGGGCCCCTTTTGCATCCTGTCCCTCACCAATGGGTGCCTCGTTGTGCCGAGCACTGAGGTGGCACCTGGGTCTCAGGTGCCTGGTCCCAGAGGCTGGGAAGGGCCAGCAGGTGTGTCTTACCAGTGAGCAGCTGGAGGTCCGGGAGGGGCTCGGAGAGGACCCCCCGGCACTGCTCTTCCACAGGCAGCGGGATCACCAGCAGCCCGTCGGCCAGCTGAGGAAAGTCCTTGATGAAGTTGTTCTCCCTGTGGAGAGGAGCAGAGACACTGCCAGGTTTTGAGATGCCACCCCATTTTCAGAGCAAGGGAAATGGGAGCTTCTGACATGAATGGTGTCCCTAGACTTAAGGCCCAGTGCACTCAGGAATAGGGAACCTGAGGCAAACTTACCTTTCTGCACTCTGGCCCCCGGGGTCACCATTTGACATCTCTGGATTTGACTGTAATCCCAGAGGAGGGGACGTGACCCTCACGCTGTGCACTCCAATCACTCTGCTTTCTGGTCACACCGAATTTTCCGCTCAGTATATCGACCCCAAAGTGACAGAGGGTGACCCCAGGATGGCTCAGGACCTGGCTCATGACACCTTTTTCCTTGGAGGGAGGCTTGTCCCTGAGCTTTGAGGAAGCAGAGCAGATCATATAAGCACACAGGCGGAGGAGGGAGAAGCGGAAAGATAGCGGGGGAGGGAGTCCACAGCCCATTGTGGAAGGCTGGGAGGGAGGAAGGAAAGAAGCCAGGGCGAGGCCTAGCAGCGATGATGGCCAGACAGCAGCGGCACAGACCAAGGACCGCCCTGGGCCTGGGTGATGGCCACGAGTCTTGCAGGGCCTCTGCCAGCAGAGGGCGCCCGGGGCCTTCGCATCCAGAAGCTCTTTCTGGAGGCAGAACTGGGCTGGGAAAGGAAGCTGCTGGGAAAGTTGCGGGCCCCCACCCCCAGAACCTCAGCAGGATCCCTGTCTAGACAGCAGCTTCGAAATCCACCACCTGGAAAGGTGACCTACCGGGGAGGCTGCGGGGTGCAGCTTAAGTGCAGATGGTCAGACACTGAATTCAGATTCTTAGAGTGTCTGCGCAGGCACTGACAATCACCAGGAAGACAGGAAGAGGGATGCGCGATATTTATTGATGGTCATATCTGCTGATCGTCCATTATGTTTTAGGTAGTCTGCCAAAATGTGTGTGTGTGTGTGTGTGTGTGCGTGTGTGTGAGAGAGAGAGAGAGAGGGAGAGAAAGAGAGAGCGAGAGCCCGATTGATTGATTCTAACCACATGGGAGCTCCAGACACAACATCTGATTATTCCCACTTGTAGATGAAGAAATGGACATTCCCAGTGAGGAGGAACTTTCTCCACCCAGGTCCACCCTGGAAACAGCTGTGCTGGGATCACACTGTCAAGTTGTCACCACCAGGCTCCTTCCTCAGGCTGGCACTCAGTGAGCAACAACCCACACTGGGCTCTGGGCTCAGGGGTAACCAGACACCAGACAGAGTGAGGTATGTGTAGTGCCCACAGATGTGGCTGGCTGTGCACATGTGTGTGCATAAAGACGATATTTCAGGTAGTGATAGGACAGTGCAGTGACTGACAATTCTTTAGACAAACGTCTCTGAAGAGTTCAATCTCGGTGGACACTATATAGAAATGATTCATCACATTTTGTAATAGATCCCCACGCCCTCATAGGATTCCTGGCAGTTAGAGTGACATTCATTCTAGTCATATCTTGGACCTCCCACGTCCCAAGGGCTTTTCTACATATTAGGGAGACAGAAGTGGACAGTCTGGGGGACGCCTTCATGAAGATACGAGATGAAAGCAGTGTGGGGTATCAGGTCTTCACTCTTGTCTTCTGCCTTGTTTTGCCCAATTCTCCAGCTGCACTGGGCAGCCTCAAGTTTCTCTTAAAGGGCACCTTTGGAATTTGCCCTTTTTCTGGAAAGCTCTGATACCTGTTCCCTGGCACCTGGTTCACTCCTATTCAATCATTCTAACCACACATTATTTCATTGACTTTGAGAAGTGTTTCCAGGATCAGGGATTCCGTTACACTCTCTCAGCCTCTTGGCATAGAAAACACAGTTGCACCCTAGACTGAGGAAAGAGATGGTTGTAACTTAGAAGATAAAGTTAAGGAGGAGGTTCAGAGACCAAGGGAGGCGAGTGGAGAGGCCCTTAACACAAGACTGGGAATTCAGGAAGGCTTCCTGGAGGAGGTGTGTCTTGACAGATTGGGAGGGTTGTCCAGGAAGAGAGCAGGAAGGGAAATGGGGGTGAGGTTTAAGCAGAAAGTACAGCATGTGTAAGAGGAGTTCAAGGATGTGTGTGTGTGTGTGTGTGTGTGTGTGTGTGTGTGTGTGTGTGTGTGAGAGAGAGAGAGAGAGAGAGAGAGAGAGAGAAGGGAGAGGACATCTTGCATTTTCGGGGAGCCTGAAAGGCCCAGTGCAGTGCATGCTCCTGGTACAAGCCCCCTGAGCAGCTGCTCAGTCTAAGGCAGCAGCAGGCTCCAAGCCTCTGCATCCTCCAGCCACGTGTGTATGACCTCACAGGGACACAAGGCCTCCAGTGCATTCCCATGTCTGGGCTGCTCTCATCTAGCTTCCTTCTGATCACCCCTGCTGACAAGTAAGACCAGCATGGGAGCCCGGCCCCCTCACTCCCCTCCCCCACCCCTCCTCGGTCTTGCTCCCGCCTGCCCCCATTTAAGAATATGTGTGAGTGTTTTGGATACATTAATACACAGCCACCAGTATGCATGAGCTGATCACCCCTCAGTTCTGGGGAAATTAGCATTTAAATTGAGGTATTTCAGGGAAGTAAATCACCCCAGAGCCAGCTAGCTCTGTCTGCAGCCTTTTCCTAGTGGAGGGAAGGCTGAGAGTTGTTGCGTTGTCAGGGAGGGGGCCACTCCTCCCAGCTTTCCCAGGCCCAGAGCCTGCTAAAAGGGCAGCACCAACCCCAGCCCTAGTCAGGACATCTTTCTGGTTTAAACAGTACCTGATCCCTCCCCTCCAACTAAGCCAATTGTCTCCACCCAGTGGGAAGGGATCCTTGGGCTGAGAAATGCCTTTCTGTGATCAAGGGGCGGAGAGACCTCTTTATATCTTGATTGTCACTGCCTGGCTCTGTGGCTTGGAGGAGTCCCTCCCCATGTCTGGAACTGGAAGGGGTGGGGGGCCTGGAACAAAATACTTGTTTCTCTGAGCCCCCAATCAAGAGATCCTGGGCTAGATTGTGTAGCCATTCTGTGAGCTCTGGGGTCCAGAGGGTCTGGCGGTGTGGAGACTGAAGTGAAGGTCTGTCCCAGCCTGTGCTTCCAGCCTCTGCCTTTCTTGGGGAACAGATAGAATCTTCCTAAGGATGGATCTTCACTAAGTCCTCTGCACCGGCTCCCCGACTCTGTCATCCTTCATCCAACCTTACATTCATTCATTCATTCAACAGAGCTGTCCTATTTTATTTTGGTGAGTTCTATCAGTTAATATTCTTTAAAATTTAGTTCTTTAGAAAATAAGAGCAGAGAGCGTTTCATAATAACATGTGTGCACGCCACCTGTATGTGTGAGCGTCCCAGCGTGGCTGAGTGGCTTCTTTCACTTAATGAAATTTTATTCATTTGCCAGAGACCTACAATACTCTTTGAATTTGGGGGGGGGGGCAAATCTTTAATGTGCATGTGTGGATAAGCCTCACCCCCCCAAACACCAAAGCTGTGGTCCATTCCCACATTGGGCTGATGCCCACGACCCCCACCCACCCCTCCCCTCTGCTAACCACTCTGTTTTTCAGTCTAGGAGCTGTTTTTGTTGTGATTTGTTAGTTCGTTTGGTTGGTTATTTATATTCCACATAGGAGGAGAGAAACGAAACGATCACATCTTTCTCCTTCTGACTTATTACGCTCAGCATAATCACAAGTTCCATCCAAGTGTCGCAAGTGGCCAACTTCTGCTATTTTGTGCCAGGCATTGGGAATACAATGATAACTCCAAATCTGTTTTCAACTTGTTTGTAGTCAGGTAGGAGACACTTGTGTGCAGATGCATGTGAGGTCAATCATGGTTTATCAAGTGCTAAAATGAAGCACTTTTCATCCCCCATAAATCATATGTCTGCGGCACCCCACCTGCTACATCAAAGGACTCCATGCCTTTGGTGGAAGCAAAGATACCATCTAGAACACAGAGCAGGTCACTGCTCAGCTTTGCATCTCAAAGGTGACTTTGTAGTGTCTGGAGTTAGACAATAGTTTCCAAAATCAGCCAGGGCAGGAAGTGAGGGTTCCCTTGTATATCAAAGTGAGCCTGGCCCACTCTGATCAGTGTCTTATTTTAATGCATAGTTAGTGCAGGCCAGGACCTCAAGGGAGTGGCCACCAGAAAGGAAAAGGACAAAACCCTTCTTTCTGCCACTTGGCCCAGGAGGGATGGCTGCGGAGAGAAGACCAGGAGGCCAAGAGTTCACACCTGAGTATCAAGGACCCTTTGAACTTTTAGAAGTTAGCCCCTCCCGCAAAGCCTCCCCCCACCCCCGCCCCCACCTTTGAAGGTGGTGCTAACAAATGCCTAAGACAGAAGTCAAGGACTTGGGGAAGAGCCCAGGGGAGCAGGAACAATGGGGTTGGCACCCCAAAATTGAGCTACAGCCTTGGATTTTGTGAGCCCCTTTACTCAACAAGCCAATGGAAGCTTCAATGAGAAGGCAACAGGTGGTCTGAGGTCACCCCCCTTCCCCCAACCCCAGTCATCACTCACAGGACAGAGGGAACCAAGCTGACAAGACTTCCTGGCATAATACCCCTGCTTCCATGCAGGCAGAGATGGGGAAGGAGGCTTGAGATTAGAATAAGGAGGCTTGGAGGACTGAGACCCCACGGCCTTGAACTTTGGCAATCAATTTCCACATGTTGCTTTTCTCAGAAACCTGACTGAGACTATCCCCACAATGGCATCAGTAAGGGGACGGGACTGAAGCTAAGCTCAGACAAGAAGTCACCAGTGGCTACAGCAGGGACAAATGGCAGTTCTAAGGCCCTTCTCGCACCACTTCCTGCCTGCACCCTGAGGCCAAGGAGGGAGGCCAGGGGAAGACCCGGATGGTTATGGGAGCCCAACTCAAGGGAAGATTGTATCAGCTAAAGGAAATGAAGACTGCAGCATATTTGTATAACTGATTGCAGGGAAAACATGTTTGAATCCTGGCAGAAGGAGTTGCTAGTTAGAGTGACAGAGTTTCAAGTTCAT